CCCCCAGAACTTGAGCTTCGGGTAGATGGAGCCGTGAAACAGGAAGTCCTGATGGAGGCCCTCCGAGTAAAATGCACTGATGGGGGGGTGGTGGCTGACCTGCTCGGATATGAATCTGAACCCTAAGTCTTCCCTGGGAACAAAACACGGAAAAGAAAGGAGGGGGCAGGAGGGACAGTCAAAGGGCCTCATCAGTGACAGCAAAGCCCAGAAAGGTCAGCCCAACCCGCTCTCAGCAGGCCTGCAGCTCAGCGCTTGTGGCGCTGCAGGACCGCACGGCCACCCGGCCTCCACGTCTGGAAGGGGCGCTGGGATAAGGGGACCACACGTGCTGTCACACGTGGCAGAAATATCCGACACGGCTCCCTGACGTCACACTTGGCCTAACACTGACCACACGCAGAGCACACGCAGAGCACACGCACGCACAGCACACAGCACACACACAGCACACACAGCACGCGCACACGCACTGTGCCTCCAGGGCCACAGTCAGCACCACGCAGAACAAAGCGACAGTGCAGAGAGGCCTCCCGCCTTGCACGCAGGTGCACAAGGAGCTCTCAGAACCAGTGAACTCAGAGAACTGACAGCAGACTGTCACCTTAGTCCTCGAGGGATGCCCACTGCCCAGTAAACCCAGAGTAGGACTTTCCAGCCTCCTTTCAAGGCTCCTGGCATTTCTGTGATGAAATGTCTTATGCCCCAAGATATTCCTGGCCAGGAAATAGGATTTTTAGTACACTCTCTTTTTCAATAAAAACGTCACTCAGTTTTTAATTCTTCCAGAGCTCTGAATACACCTACAGCTGTAGTCGTTAACAATTACAAAAGCTCAACCACATAATTACTAACTTAACTGGAATCAGAATTTCCAATCATTACAGAGGGAGGAAAGTTGAAAAATTAGATTTTAAAAAGGTTGCCTACCAAGGTATGTAATTTACAAAATACTTGTCTAAGAAAAGAAAGTGTTATTTTTAGTTATCCACGAGCAATCTCTAAGGATGAGAAGACACTGGTGAATGGCCAGGCTTAGTTATGTTGTCCCCCAAACAGGAAGACGGCTCCGTCTCACACGTGTGGCACGCGGCAGACACCGCAAGCGTGACCTGGAAGTTAAGGCCCGACACACAAGTTAAGAGAGAATGTCAGTGTTTCCCATCAGCCTGTGAAACAATAGTTCAACCCCTGAACTACGTTCATGAAAAAGATGAACAGGGCTTCCCTGGTGGCGCAGCAGTTGAGAGTCCGCCTGCCGATGCAGGGGACACGGGTTCGTGCCCCGGTCCGGGAAGATCCAACATGCCGCGGAGCAGCTGGGCCCGTGAGCCATGGCCGCTGGGCCTGTGCATCTGGAGCCTGTGCTCCACAACGGGAGAGGCCGCAGCGGGGGGAGGCCCCCGTACCGCAAAAAAAAAAAAAAAAAAAAAAAAAGATGAACAATTAGGGGTGTCACTCTGTATTCAGCATCTTGGGGGATTCGTATGCTTTTAATCCATCTGCTTACTTTCCTTTGTCTGGAACTTTTATCATATTATGCTTTGATTTCTCTTTTCAGATATTTCGATGATGCTTTTAATAAACAAAAATGCTAATAATAATCTGACAGCTACATAAGGTCAGAATCTCGAACCCTGGACTAAAACAAACTAACCGGAGGGAGGAAGCTTTTGCTCGAGAGAAACATCTAAGAAAAGAGGAAACTCTACGTGAATTCAAGACAAAAGTGTCCCCTTAAGAGTGACCCTCGGGGCAAGCCTTTCCCTTGCCTGGGTCTCAGCTTCCTTGCTTCTAAAAGGAAAGGGCTGTGCCTTATGGCCCCGCTTGCTGTGAGATGCCATAGCCCAAGGTCACAAAGCCCTCCAGCAGCACACATCACGCTTTCTCCCAACTGGTCCAGCTTTCTCAAGGGCAATGAGATGTGGAGAACGGCTTCTCCACCACTCCGTGCCAGCCGACCTCTAAGCCACACTAAAAACCCAGGGGGAATTCTCACTCTAGCAGCGTGTGGTGAAGGGGCCGCTGCGCAGCCATCCAGGACAAGCCAGAAACAGTGGAATTTGAAACTGACATGAATGTTGCTTTCCCAACCTGGGAAGCGACGTGTGGGCAGGTGTGTGCAGGCCGCCCACATCACTAAGATGACAATTCCTCCCCAAATGGTCGGAAACCAGTGCAGACACCCCCCCAACACGCTTACACTCTACAAACCTGAGGAGGGCCCGTTCTAAGCTGCCCGACATCCCCAAGTCCCACCGTCATTTACTCTCCACTGGAAAAACTCAACCATTAATAACACATATGCAATAAAGAACCCAAGAACCACAAGTGTGTGGTTCTTTGAATCCAAGATGCATCGGTCACATAACACACCACTGGTCTTATAAAGATGCTGCAAATTAAACTACACCTCGCAGAAATGCCCAGACACGAGCACCCAGCAATCTGACACCCCGCGCTGCACGCTCCCAGGCATCCCCTCTCCGTTCCTGAACCTAACGCATTCTTCCGTTTTCAACTCGGTTTTTTCACCAGGCTTCTGTTATGTCATTAACACAACAGCTCTCGTATGTGCACCATCTTCCCACCTGCAGTAAACCCCTCAATTCAATCAGCCTGGAGAAATCCATGCTGGACAAGGAATCACCCTTGTCCGTCGCCAGAAGAACCTCACGCACAAGACGGTCACAAGGCCCTGTCCCCTTACCTGGTTAACTCGTACGTTTCCCCCAAGAGCGGATTGAACGGCTTGCCGGTCCTCTCCCACTGGGAAGCCACAGCCGAAACCGCAAAGGCCGCTACAGACTGGAAACAACCACAGGCTGGTGAGGGGCGGCTGTCCATCAGGATGCGGGAGCCAGGGCGGTGAGGGCGCCCCACTCACTCGCTCCTGGGTGCCTTTTCAGTCTCCCACTTGTAACACGTTTGAAACCACAGAACTTCCAGGGAAATGCAGCTTATCACCCACCACTTCCTCATAGCCATGGAAAGCAGGAACTCTGCCGCCTTCCACCCCCAGCCCGGGCCTACCTCGCAGGCCCTGTCCGTCACACACACGTGCACACACACACACTCACGTGGGGTGATGGTGCTGAAAGGGCCCAAGAGGAGCCGAGTGCCGGCGCCACCACCCGACGCAGCCCTGCAGCCCCAACCACCAGGCAGTCGAGACCACGACCGCGCAGAACATGCCCACGACAAATGCCTTGGCCTTTGGGCAGGACAGCACCCCAACATCCGTGCGAGCTGCGCTGGCCCTCCTCCCAGGTGTCCCACTGCTGAGGTGCCCAGGTCCCTGCCGCCACATGGCCAACCTGATGGCGTCACGTTCATTAAAAGCTACGGTCCACACCCAGCCAAGATGCACCCAGCCTGGCCCTCCCCGCGAAAGGAGCCCGCCGCCCACCTGCATCCTTTCCAGGGGCTGGGGCTGGCAGGAGGCTTTGTGGATGAGGTACACGTGCTCCATATACTCCGTGATTCGTTGCAGGAAACTCAGAGGCTCGTTGAAGGCGATGGGCATCGTGATCTTGGACAGCTCCTAGGGGGAACCGGTGAGGACCCGTTACTGCTACCGCTACCGCTACTGCTACCGGCGGCTTTGCCCAGACACCAGCGCCCCCGCACCCGCCCCTGCTCCGAGCATCATTCCCTGTAGCCGCAGCCGCCTGCACGGGATGAGACTGGAGAGACCCTGCGGGGAGCCTGGCCTGGGAGACAGAGCCACCCGCACACACGCCCATGGGACTGTGCCCGCCCCCCCGCTCACGGCACGCGAGGCTGCAGGCGCCCCCAGGCCGCCAGCTCCAGTGACGACCCCGCTCCTGTGTGTTCCTCGTGCCAACTCCAGCTCCATGGTCCCAAAGCATCGTTCCAACCCGTCACCCCAGAGTGACTTGGAAACTCCTCGGCCTGGCAAGTGAGACCCCCTAACACGGCCTGCTCTCAGGTACCATGCAGGCAGAGCAAGTGTGCAGCCCCCGGTGCAGGGGGAGGCCGGGAAGGCGCCCGGGGACCCATGCTGCAGGGGGCGCCGAGGGAGCCGGCATCTAGGGAGGAGGCTCCAATGCACTTCGAGAAGGCAGAGGCCCCTCTCAGGAGCACGGCTGAGCAGCGCAGGACGACTTTGTCAAGGAAGGACCAGGGCTGGACAGGAGGGGGAGGGAAGAGGAGATGTGGGGGAGGGGAGGGAAAGAAACGCTGCCGGCCCAAAGCCAGGAAAGATGCTGGCCTCGCTCACGTCAGGAGAAAGGAAATGAAAGCACTTGGACACCCAACTCAAGTGGCAAAGCCCCAAGCCTCTGACCCCCGCCTGCCGGCAAGGCTGGGGGTACCCAGGCCACCCACACCTGCCGGTGGGAATGCAAAATGCGGCAGCCTCCGGAGAGGAGGGGACCCAGCCATGCCCCACCACCACCCAGCCTTTGGTCCGGCGGCCCCATGTGCAGGAGCCTAACCCACAGTTCCTCCAGCAAATACACAGCAAAAGGCCAGAAACAACGCAAACATCCAACCACAGGGCCACAGTGAGTCAACTATGGGGCAGCACAGCGCGGTGACCAAAAGAATAAGCAGCAGCTCTGCCCTCGTGGCTACACTGCGGGGCGGAGACAGGGGGAGAGGAGCCCGACCGTTTATCTAAAGAACGGGAGGAGGCCACGCAGTCGTCGTTCCCACGTGGGAAGGGGGACCAGAACGTGTTTTGATGGTCACCTCCAGACTGCAGGGAGGGCACGGGGACAGGAAGCTAAACGCTTGGAATATACCTTGTCTGAGAGATTTGACTCTGGACTTACAATTTTAAACCAAAATTAAATTTAGAAAAGCCATCTCTAAACACCGTAAATAAAACAAAACAAATGAACCCACACCACCTCCCTGGCGGCACAATCACCCAGAGGCGCTAAAGCACAGGGACTGAAGATTCACCCTCGGGGCAAGAACGACAAATGCCACAGACGACGTGCTCTCCTGAGCCGTCACGTGTGTGGGCACAGCAGCGGGTCACAAGCTATGTGCTGCGCTAAATCCATCATCTCCTTTGTCATGAAAAACTGGGACTGAGGTGGCGGAAGACAGACACAGACAGAAGAGAGAAGAGGTTAGATAAATCCTGTCGCGTGGAATTTGAAGCATCGTTGAAACAAATCAAAACACAGCTCCTAACTCTCTCCCCTGAAAAGACCTAGAAACAAGACCAATCCAGTAGCCTCCCCTGGGCCCAGCTATGGTCCTGAGCTCTCTCTCTCCCTGGACAATAAAGGTACAGAAGGAGCCGAGGCATCTTTTGGAAAGGAGTGCGGGCCAGCCTGAAGAGGCTCTTATAGCCAGAGACGGACAAGTGTGACTGGACACAGCACAGGGCCAACCCCATGAGCTGGCCGGTTAGACCAGTTATGCTGCCAGGGAACCAAAGACATCATTTGAACACCTTGATAGAGAATCACTCATTGATCCCGACTGTCTTATGCAAACCACATTCACAGTAGAGGAGGGGACTTTCTCAACACAGAAATATTCCAGGTAATGAAAGAAGGGCAATCGTTATCAGCCTGGCTCCGATTTACAACTCCTGATGAGATAATGGGTCTGGGCACCAAGCACCAGCAGTTCTTAAATTCAGAAGAGCAACAGAAAGGTCTTGTGATGGAAGGACCCAGATGAGTCCCACACAGACTGCAAAACACACACAGGAGAGTCATGCTCAGACGACTGGAAATTTGAATACAGAGTGGGTATTTGATGATGTTAAAGAATTATGTTACTTTGAAAAGTAGGATAATAGGGGGCTTCCCTGGTGGCGCAGTGGTTGAGAGTCCGCCTGCCGATGCGGGGGACGCGGGTTCGTGCCCCGGTCCGGGAGGATCCCGCGTGCCGCGGAGCGGCTGGGCCCGTGAGCCATGGCCGCTGAGCCTGCGCGTCCGGAGCCTGTGCTCC